TTCATATTTAGTAATTGGCAGGGAGCAGTGAGACTCTTAGCGTCATTAGTCTGTTAAAGTAAGAATTAATAGTACTGGTAGATGACTGCATAAAGTCTTSTTCCTTTTAACAAAAGCCCCTTAGTCACTGCTTATAAAACAGGGATGATGCTAGTTTGTAAATGCTCTATTTAAGAGTTTGTGAGAGTCAGGTGAGTGAAAATGGCCATACTTAAGACTGAAAAACAGTGCAAATGGTGCAGGTGGACATGCTGAGCATAAGCCGGGAGGTGTTATGGGGTCTAACCTGCTTCTTGTGTTCTCCATGGTCAGGACTATGTTCCTCTCTCTACTTGCTTTTAATTTCCACCACTTTCCATTATTCTTTACAATTTAACTGTGTGGTTTAATGCAGTCCCTTTCTTTCATGGTTTAACCCCCCAACTTCTTAGTTTTATATGAGACCAGTGAGGTGACTTAGGGTAAAAAGAAACTTGGCTGCGTGCAAAGATGCCCCTGGCTTGGGGGGGAACAGAAATGAGCAGAATTCGGTAAAATTGCATGTGTAATCCTTCGGGTTTTTTCCTTTTGACGATGACAATAAATAAGATCAAACCAGGGTTACACATTATTTATGAGACACAGTAGCCCTTAGTGTTTAGAAGAACCCAACATTGTGCAGAGTTCAACTTCCTCGTGTTCGTTTGGGCGCCGTAGGGCTGCAACATGGCACAGCTGCAGGTTGTGAGATACATACCCAGAACTGAAGGGAGCCAGTGAATATGCTGAAGGGGAAAACGATCAGATTAGGTGATTTCAAGCAATAAAATACCTACATAGTTTTCAAAATGGGGATAAATTGGAAAGGTGAGTGAAAGGTTACAATGAAGTTGCATCAGAGGAGAGCTGCGACCTTGAGGAAGGCTTCCAAGCAGTGAGGCTGGGTGCATGTGCCCTGCCTTTCCCCGCGTGGTCTTCTTGAGGGACACTGGACTGGTTCCTTTCAGCTCAATAACTGCTGGTTCAAAGTTTAGTGACTTAAATATTTTTACAGGCTGTATATGTCATGATCGAAGCTCTTTTAACCCATGAGAAAGCTGTTCGAGAAATTATAATTGCTCTTTAAAATGAAATCAAAGATAGAAACCCCCAGAGAAGTAGAAGAACCGTTGAAGTTTTATGATGATCTTGACACAATCTTCATGAAAGAATGTGTATGTGACCTTGCCATGAATAAATTTTGGTTGTCAATTAGAAGAAAATTCTCATCACTGCAAATTTGGGGAGCCTTGAACCACCTTTATTTGGATTTATTGTGGACAGGAAACAATTCATTTTAAGATGGAACTATTTTCTTTTGTTACAAGTGATTATTATAAGATGGTTACATGTGAGTTCAGGGAGTTAGATGATCAAAAAAGTCCCTTCCAGACTAGTTACTTTGTTCCTTAAAAGTTGTACAGCATAAAAAATATTGCTTGCTTTCATAAAGCAAATATTTTAATGATTGAGAGGAGTGTTTCATAACGTAGGGTAGCTGTATATCACATTTTGATAAAGAAACAAGGAGATAATATTTTTCTTAGTTTGTCTATGTAAACAAAAAGGAACCATTGATCTGCTGCACAGCGAAGACCAAGGGGAAATTAATTTTTTAAGGAGTCCAAGAGCTGTAAACTGACTGATGCTGCAGTCCCAGCACTGATGCTGAATCACAGTGATGGGRTGTTTTTTACAGCTTTTGTCATCAGCTTTATTATATGTCTAATGCCAAATACGAGGTTAGATTTTATCCCTTCTGTGATTTTTCATTTTCATTATCTATAACTAATGGAACTTCAGCATCAGAAAACGCTCTGTCTGGCAAAGGCAATTCCCATTGAGAAGTCGATCTCTGCTCAGGTGTTTTATAATATCAGTGCTGCTGTTGATGTTAATGCTACTTATTTGACAGAACAGTTGAGGTTGGAAAGGGCATCTGCAGATCTCAGATCTTCTAGTCCCGCTCAAGCAAGGGTGTCCAAAACACAGTGGCCAGGATTGTGTCCAGCGGCTTTGGGATGTCWCCATGGAAGGAGACTCCAGAGCCTCCCTGGGCAACCTGTGCCAGGGCTCAGTCCCCTCCCAGGACACTTGTTTGTCCTCATGTTCAGAGAGAACTGCCCTCTGCACATGGGTTTCAGGTTGTGCCCGTTGCCATTTGTCTGATCATCGGGTTTCTTCAGTGTTTAATCCTTCATTTCTGTATGACTGTACTGCTTATCATTTCATTTGGCCTTAGCTGGTAAAAAATAATAGATTCGTTATCTCAAGAGACTGTTCTTGGACTGAGTGGTCCGAGTGGTTGGACACTGATTTCCGAAGTACCACGCCAGAAAACTGCAACAAGCCCTTGTGCTTCAGTGCCAGAGTAGTCTGCTGTTATTTTCTTAAAARCAGAACTGAAAAGTAAATATTTAAAATGTTGAAAAAATGTTTTTGAATTATTCAAATTCATTCATTTTACTAGAATTAAAAATTCTACCTAAAAAAGCTGATACCTGAAAAAGCAGATATTGTTAGACAGGGACATCATTAGACGTCGTTTGTCAGAGCAGGCTTGACATTACAGATGGGCTGGAGCAGCCCCTCCTGGAGGATGGGGACAATCAGCATTAGGATGGGGACAACTCGGCAGCTCTTTGACAGTCATTTTCTGATGGAAAGCTAAAAAGGCTGGAATGAGACTCCTTGTCTGCTATGGAATGAGCTAACCTGGAAAGTCTCAGGCATTTGAAATTGGCTGGACACTTTCTAGAAGGGAAGTAATCTCCTTTCCTTCAGTATTAATAAGTGTAACTTTAAAAAATATTGATTCCATAAAGGAGAAGAGAGGGAAAAGTCATGAGGGGGGTCATTTGTTCAGAAATAAATGACATTTTCAGTATGTGCATGCAGTACAAAGATTGGTCTGAGAACTCTTCACTGTGGAAATGTTTAAGTGTTTTTTCATGTGCAGCATCTCCTGATAGAAGAGCTTCCTAACTGTCATCCCTTCAGAAATGATCAACATCAACATATTTTAATATTTATCTGACTCGGTCATTTTGTGTAGCTTTGTGCTTAAAGCAGCTGCTTAAAAAGCACAGATACACATATCATTTTTTTCATTTTCTTTACATTTTAGGACTAGGACTTCACAACTTGGACACTCACACTGCATTCCTTCTGGTGGCTTCAGGACTCAGAGCAGTTGTATAATGTCATATCTTGACCTTTTCCTGCCACATTTCTTGTCAGGAAGAAATTAAAACGACCTATCAKCCTGCTACATTTAATAGGCAGCTAGGGCTGCCCAGATTGGCATTAAAAATGGGAATACTGAAATATGAGGACTTAAGCAATTAGGTTCAGCAGTTCTAATAAGACATACAAWTGCCTTTTCTTTCTTTTCTAATTTTTGAAATTCAGTTGCTACACAATGACAGCCTTTACTGTGCAACACGCAGGCTTCGATAGCCTGTTGTTTGGGTTTGCAGAGCCCCAGTTTCCCCGTTTGTTTTCCATAGAGGTGAACCGCGCTGTTCATGCCGGGTGAACGGTGAGTTTCGAGCTCAGCCTGTCTGGCCGGGGAGGTCAGCGAGCAGCTKCAGGGGTGCTGGGGACAGAAAACACCTCGTTTTGTGTATCCGCGACGTCTGCATGATTCTGAGAGATTTCTTCATAAAACTGTTTAGAATCAGGACTCTGTGCATTGCTGCTAGCTGACGATTTACTTTGCTGAGTAATTTGCTTTAAAAAGGAATAGAATTCCTTTTTAAAGGAATTCTCGCATACCCACAAGGTGCTGCTGACCCGTTTTCAAGCGCTCCCGTTCTAGCTGGGAAGCTAATGCAGGAGCACCAGTTTCAGACCCTTCAGTAACAGTAACATAAAACCAGAAAAAMCTAAAACCAGGAGGTACGAGTGTCAGTTGCAATGTATTTTATGCCATGGATTAGCTGCATATGACCTTTAACTGGAGTGAAAACATGTTTGATTTTTGAAATATCTTTCCTTAGAATATAGGGAATGCTAAMATCCTGCTTGTTTTGGCAGAAAAAGCCAGAACACTCAGCAATGGCTAGCTTCAAAAGCAGATTAATTTAAATTAAAAAAGTGAACCCTTTTTCAAGCAGATCATGATTGACCATCGAAAAAGCAAACAGCCAAGGGAATGGCAGTTTATCTCTTGATGTTCTCCAGTCAAAACTTGAGGCAAGCACAAGCTTTCTTTTGGCTATGCCAGATTTCCCAGGGTAATTGGGTCTTGGTCCATGGCCTTGTTATGCAGCAGGTCAAATAGGATATTTGTTAAGAACCACAGAATCACAGAATGGTTGAGGTTGGAAGGGACCCCTAGAGCTCATCCAGTCCAAGCCCCTGCTCCAGCAGGGACACCCRGAGCACGGGRMACAGGGCGGCATCCAGGCRCCTTTGGAAGATCTCCAGAGAAGGAGACTCCACAGCCTCCCTGGGCAGCCTGGGCCAGGGCTCKGGCACCCTCACACCAAACAAGTTCTTCCTCACATGCACATGGAGCTGCCTGGGTTTCAACTTGCACCCATTGCCCCTTGTCCTGTCACTGGCCACCACTGAGAAGAGCTTGGCCCCWTCCTCCCTACATTGCCCCTTCAGGTACTTAGACATATTGATCAGATCCCCTCTCACCCTTCTCTTCTCCAGGGAAAACAGGCCCAGCTCACTCAGTCTTTCCTCATACGAGAGATGCTCCAGTCCCTTCCTCATCTCTGTCGCTCTCCGCTGGACCCTCTCTAGAAGCTCCACGTCCCTCTTGTCCTGGGGAGCCCAGAGCTGCCCCCAATGCTCCAGGTGCGGCCTCCCCAGAGCTGAGCAGAGGGGCAGGATCCCCTCTCTTGTCCTGCTGGCAACATCCTCCTGATGCAGCCAGGAGCCCATTGGCCTCCTTGGCATTTGGATCTCAAATCAGAAACTCCAGCACGAGCCAGGTTCAAACCTGTGGTTTTGTTGCTGCGTTTCAGGTACTACAGCGCGACCATCCTGCAGATGTCGGGCGTTGAGGACGACAGGCTCGCCATCTGGCTGGCCGCCCTCACCGCCTTCATCAACTTCCTCTTCACCCTGGTGGGAGTCTGGCTCGTTGAGCGGATGGGGCGCCGGAAGCTGACGCTGGGCAGCTTAGCAGGTGAGTGTTTCACACGAGAAAACTGTCCGTTCCTCACATACACGTGTAAGTTAAATGAAAATAAAGCACTAATTTTATCTAAGTTATTCTCTTCCAAACAGTAACTTTGACCTAGCTTCTCCCCCAGATTATTTAGTTTTTAAAGTACAGGCATATAGTACACCACTAGGAGCTAATTTTAAGAAAATATTTAGCATCTTTATTTTTCCAGATGCTATTTCGCCTTCAAAAAGTAGACTTGACAATTTGTTTAATTTTTATAGCCTTTTTTTCTTTTTTATAGCTTTTTTTTCAGCAAAAGGAATGAAATGCTTGGAACTTCAGAGTTGCTTGTTTAATCTTGTGCACATATGTGTATGTGATAAGTAATTTGTGCCTTATTAATGTGATTTCACATCATCTTATCAGGAGCTACTGGAGAAAGTGTGACAGGAGCCACTGTGGTGCTTTTCCAAGTAATGCACTTCTGCTCGTATTTATGTCAAATGGAATTAATACTGTAGTAATGGGRCATTAGTCAGGCTCCCAAAGGAGATACTAAAATAATGTATTGTGAATCTGTCTGTTTTGTCCAAGTGTTCAAGCCCCATCGCTCACTGACACAGCAAGCTGGAAAAGGCAGAGCTAGGAGGGGCCTTGCCTGTCCTCAGGCCTGTGCTCAATGTGTCCTGCCAGCCCAGGAACCTGAAGTGCYCGTTTTGGCTGAACAGTCTCTGCCAGGCACCTCTGGCTGAAGGTCTGAGAAGTTCAGACATTTTCAAGAATAAGATTTGGAAAAGAGAAGTGGTTCTTCCTTCTTTCCGAATGGTGTTTGCAGCTGGGACAGGTTGGAACAGTTGGACGCCTCCGTGGTTTCTTCTGTGAGCCCTGCCAGGGCTCCAAGCTGCGGCCTAATGCAACGCAGCAGAGAGGGGACCCCCCTGCCAAGAGCTGGCGCCGGCAATTTGGATGCAGTTCCCAAATTCCAGCAGTTAATTCRCATCCATAATGCGTTTATGTAGGCAGAGCCCTGACTGCTCTGCACCGTGTCACATCTGGTCTGATACGCTCTTGCCCAATCTTTGTATTAAAACATGCCATTTGGAGTCAGGTTGGCATGCCCAAGTTCTAATAAAACCAAATCTGTATTTTGTCTTGGAATCGAGAACCCTGAGACTGTTTCAGGATCCAGGTTCAGAAGTGTCAGGATAGAAGTGACTGGAGGAGCACGTCCCTTGGCTCATGAAACTTGAGCACAAACCTCCAACTGATACTTCTACCGCCATCCACATCCAGATTAGCTAAAATACAGGTCCCCAAGAAGTTCTTTATGTCTCCAACCAGTTCCAAGTGTTTCGGAGGGTAGAACACTGGACCATTCCCTAGGCTCACCAGTGCCCCTTGGGTTGGTTTTGTTGTTTCCTCGTATGAAACTGCCTTATTTCTTTGCTTTGGTGTGAAGTAAAGCTCTTTTTGCACCGCACTGATGCTTATTTTTTGGGATGATGCCTCTGCTTTTTTCCCTATTAGATTATGTCAAAATGTTACACTACTATATTACTATATTTTAAAATTGTAATAATATTATATTATTATACGCTATGCTCCCGATACCTCTGGGCAGCTCCTCCAGAGTTTATTGTCCATATGGAGCCAGTCATATAGGTTTGATTCCCATGTGAATTTTTCACAGAGAACTCTGTGGAGCTCCAATTTTTTTGCTTAATATATTCACAATTGTGAGCAGGAAATGTAGATATAAATGTCCCTTATAAAGCATATTAGTCATCGAGCAGAGGCGAATATAGAAATGAGGCAGGAAATGAACAAAGCAGAATGAAACGCGTAGGGTTATGTGTTTGTGGTATTTGGCCAAAAAATAATTGCCTGGTAAAAATATTCTTGGTCTTTTCTCTGTAGCTTGTTGCCTGCTGTCAGTTTGCATCATCACTTGATTCATGCCATGTTACTTACTCTGCTCTATATCCTATGGTCTCTTCTTAAGGAAAATGCAGTGCAACTAGTGGCACTGCTCAAACTGTGTCATCTCTCACCCCTGCTCAGACTTCTTTTATATAATAATAATTATATATATTTTATATATATATATAATTTGCAYTAAGGATGGATATGAGGTGTTTTACGTAGCCAGGGGGCTTGCAGAAGAAAACAATAATTATTAAATCTGGTGATGGATTTGATTTCACACTGTGTGTTTTCTCACGGGATGTACTTATTTTCCTTTGTGTTCTTCTTTGGTTTGCTTTCCTAAAGAAATTGACTTTCATGCTAAGTTATTAGGAGAGCTGCCTGTCTGCGCCTTGGAGAAACTGTGTATGCCCCAGCCTCCCATTAGAGAAAATGAGGAGAAAAGTCCTACCTTTGGCTGCTGCTCCAAGGCTTTGTTTGTAAAGGTTAATTGATTTAGGGTTTGTTAGATGAGAACCTGTGAGAATCATTAGTGAAGAGATAGCAACATTAGTATTTTGATTAAGTCTGCATGGTCTAAATTAATTTCATAAACTTGTGCAGCTCTTTTAGCTCTCTGAAAACATTTGGGAAAGGGCTGTTCTGCATTTGATTTAGAGTATTTTTATCATTTTGAAGCAACTCTTTTGAAAAATTGAGCCTTTCTGAGAGACTCGATAATAGTAATAACTGTAAATAAAAAAAAAAGTAAGAAAATAATAGTGAACTCCTGGCAAAAAAAAAAAAGAAAGAAAAAAATCCCTTTTTAGTTCTCTTTGCTGCAGTTAACTACTAGCTCTTATTAGTTTCCAGTTCATGTTATATGCTGGCATCAATTCTCTATCCTTTTTTGCTCTTTAGTTCTTTCTTCAAAGTTCCTCTTTGGGAAACTTGCATGTATTTTGAGAAATGCAGTAGCTGTTTCATTGGCGTTTTCTTTTTTCCCTTCAGAAACTGGCAATTTGAAAGCATGGTGGTATTTGGATATGTGACATATATTCAAATAATTGTCTTTTTTATGACAGAAAATCTAAAATATCTTCAGAATGCCACATTTCTGTTCCACCTCCTATAATGCTATACTGTAAATGGTATAAGTTTATTAATCATAGAAGAGCTTCCCACAGAGTGAAAATATAGTAAACTTCGGGTATCAAATTTGCCTGTTTAGTCCTTTTCCAAAGAGGTAAGAAATTTGCAGACATTCTGTAAGAGAYGGTTAGTGTATTTGATTAAGTTGAAAGACAGACATATCCTATTTATAATGAACATAAATAAATAAGATTGTAGTCTCTGTCTAACGATATTTGCTGTCTGGTTTATGGCATTTTGAAAGTCCAGTGCATCTAGTACAAAATCCTGCATTCATTAGCATACCTAGGCAGTGTAGCAATACAAAATAAGCAGAGAATAAGATGAACTTCACTGTTTTTTTTTGTGGTGGAGAGGTATTTTCTCCACATACAGGTTTTAAGATACTAGCCTCAGAAGCAGGTCTACCAGTTCAGGTAAATAAGTGCTCCAAAAATCCCCCGTTCGTGCCCACTCCTGTCCATTGGCCGTGGCTGCTGCAACGACGTCCTCAAGAATTATTTCATTACGCAGATCCTGCTACTTAAGATGCTATTTATACCCCGGGAGGAATTTTTCGTGCAGTTGATGGCTTAGTCTGCTAGAAAGCCTCATTTCACATTCCTTTTTCATTAAAAAGCCCACCCCCCAAAGAAACTCAGTAGGAAACAGGTAATGTGCAGTTCCTAGGCACGCTCAGCAGTGTGACCTTTTAAGGTTTCTCATGTAGTTGTGTTTTTTAAAGGATTACACACCTGCATTTTTGAGAAAATGAGTTTTGCTCTCACAGAGAGAGCAAAGAGAGGATGGTAAGTAGTTAGAATTGAATAAAACGTTGTTCATTTGCCCTCAGCCCTCCAGCTAAACCATTGCACACCGCTAGAGCACTGCCCTCCAGCTGGGCTGCCCTTCAGTGGCTTCTGAGTCTCTGTACAGTGAGGAGAATGCCAGGAGAATTAGTATCTATTTCCCAAACAAAGGCCTCATTTTGTGTTTTTCCTTCCAGAAGCCTGCAGATCAGGCTATACTTGTTCTTGGGGAGCTAGGAGATCAAACATACCACATAAGCAGTGAGGATACAAATAGATGTGCACAGCATTTTGCATAAGATAGACTTAGAGTAGCAGGATGTGGAGGTTTTATTAGCGTATTTATTACCATGCTCTTCCCTAGCAGGCCTGTCCTGTGTGCACTTGAAATGGGAATTCAGAATCTGCAGTTGGGCCCTTTTATGGCATTTCTATGCATGTCAAATTTATCACAAAACTGATGAAGAATTCAACACTTCTCAATTTTACAGGAAAGTTTGGCAGTGGGAAGAAGGGTGGTGATTAAAAGTTGTTAGTAAATTTTAATAATCTTCCTCACAAAAGGGAATATATCCATTCGCTCCTGCAGTCTTGAATTTCACATACCAGAAAGAGCTTCAGCTGATTAATTGGGTGTCTGGATGGTAAATCTGATGCACTTACCTTCAACATCTAGCCTAATTCCAGACGGGGATGTAAAAAGGATGGTGTTTTCCCTAAATCCTTATTATGGGGAGTGCAGTGTGCATAATGATGGAGTGTCTTGCTTTCCCAAGCACAGCAGAGTTCGATGGGGAGTTATTTCATGTTCTGTGAAGAAAATAAGTATCACATGGCTTTTTGTCTGTATTTTTAGGTACTGGTGTAGCACTCATTATCCTAGCTTTGGGATTTTTGCTATCAGCACAGGTCTCGCCAAGAGTCACACTTACTCCACCAGATCCTTCACATCACAACTCTACCTGCACGAAATACAGGTGAGATGTCATGATCATTTAATCCATCAAAGGGTTGGTTTGTTTACTTGTTTTTCTTTTTTTTTTTTTTTTCCCAAATAACTTTTTTACAATCTAATGTGAATAATGAGCAGATATTCACACAGCCTAGTGAGGGGATATAACTTAGAAACCTCAAGTTGAAAGCCTTAATTCCCTTAATGGAGAAAATAAGAGTCTTCACTTCCATTCTCTCAGTGACCCTCTGGATTTTCTTGGATTAAACGAGACAGGCTGCAGGCTTGACATGAGTTCTCCCTGGTGTATCAGAGATGCTGCAWTTCCTAGTGGATACAAGGTTATGAATGTTTTTAAAATATGATTTATAAATATGCTTGCAGTTGCTAGTCTACACATAGATTTGTCTTATGTCATAACTGTTAACTCTGGAAGAATGTATTCTTTGCCTTTGGTTTTACTGAATCAGAAATCCTTTAAAACAGTGATAATTACAGGCCTATTAATAATTCAGAATAAATACAATTTGGGGATCTTTTTGTCYATGCCAAATTGCAAACGATACTTTTGTTTGCAATTATGGTTTCAAGTTACTGTTATTTTCTGTATTTTGTGTCATTTATTCACATGTTTATGTCATCCCTGAAACAATTTTTAGTTGTGTCCCAAAATCTCTGCCTTACATGTGTTTGTGATAGAGATAATCATCGAGAAATGAGAATTGTGCTTCTGGTTTCACAGAGATGGTGGCCAAACATGTCCATGTTTTGCATATGCTAAAGCRTGGTCTTACTGACAGATTCTGAGGAGCTGAAACCTTCCAGATCTCTGGGGAGTGACAGSAAGGTGCTGGGCTGCAAAAGAAGATTCTGAAGAGCACTGCATGCTGTCACATGTGGGGATCYCTTCATGAAAATACTGTGTTTTCACTTGTTTTGCACTGCAGTTAATACCTGTGTCATCTACTTATGTTGCTATTTTGGGGACTTGCCTATCCAGCTTTTGCAAAGGGTGAGTGATCTATTTAAAGGATGTGAAGGGAGAAAGAAGCTCCAAATGCTCTCATTTCAGGCTGAGGTGATGTCAATAGCAGGATGCCAAAAGGATTGGCCTGCGACTTAAGATAGCTATTAGGTAAGGATGTCTGGAGAGAGCTGATGTGCTATTTGCAGAGCACAAATCTTTGTTATTTTCTAAAGCTAGATGATTATATAACCTGAAACAGTATAAAATTTGTGTAGAAGAGCTACAAATAGATGATCTTAAAAAGTATTGAGTTATTTGATGCATTTTAGATTTTTCCAGTAAACCCTAGCTGTTCAGGAAGAAAAGTTTGACTATTTGTGGTCCATAAACTGAATGAAATTGTAAAGAAAGCTTTTGCCATTAGAAAGCAGATAGTGTGCAGCATTCCAGCCCCAACAGAATATAAAAGTCGGAGCTTTTCTTGTCTCATGCAGCAAGTTTTATATCAGTGGCATCCATGGCAAAACTCCAGCATAACATACATGGAAGAAGAGGTGAGGCCTGCAAACCAAAGGAAAACAAACAGCTGGGCTGTGTTCATTGAGGCCAGCCACTCCCTCCTTTTTGGCTCTGGAGCTGTTCCTCAAGGCAGTTACAATCTTGAGACAAAGAGATCTTCAAACGTGAGGCTTTGGGAGAGAATATCTACCCTGCAGAAAGCCCAGCCTTACACATACTTCATATGCTGCTCCAAGTATAAGTTGAAACTCAGGTTATGCAGGTAGCAGTTTGCCTGTAGGTAGAGGCAACCTGTAAGGTAGGGTAACAGGTAACATGTAGGTAGGGTTGCAAATGTTACTGTAGGGATATTTTCAAATTAGGTATTCAATCAAGGTATCGAGGTAAGATGAAATAACTTTAACTTAACAATAGCAGTGTGTTATTTAATCCRTGTTTGGGTTGCCTCAGGATAACTGCTTTTTTTACATGTTGCTTCACATTGCATCTTGCACGCCATAAAGCAGTGCAAGAAGATTTGGAAAAGAAAAGACAGCAGGACTTCAGAAAATCAGCCCATAGTGACCTGTCCCTGTAGCTACAGTGAGTGGTTTTAAATACACCTGTCTCTGCAAATGAGGCTGGTAGGCTCTCATCGAATGGTGATGCTTCCCCGAGGTGCTGTTCTCTTAAGTCAGAGTTTAAATCAGTTGGCAGATTCGCAGCTTGTCCATCTCTGAGGACGTGGGTGTTTCCCACATTTGTCATTGCCAAAGTGTATTTATAAGTTTTCATACTGTCAGCAAAATGTATTTGCTGACAGAACTCTCACAGATGCTGTGCAGAGCAAAAATGCTCATCATGTTTGCAAATATGTTGGGTTATAGCAGGTGTGAGTGTCCATAATGAAAGCCTCGGAGTTACTGCAAATGCTCTGTTTGTTTGCTGACTCCTTAGATCAGTGCTCCTCAGCTGCTAGAATAAAAATGAAGATGGAGACTTCAAGAAATAAAGAACACAGTCATTATGCAGCTCGAGAAAGCACCTAGCAGTTCAATACCCCATTCTGAAAGAGTCGTGCCAGGCAAGCAGTGCTGCAAATTAACTGTACCAGCTTTCAAGCAAGAAACAAATAAACAAACAAGATACACTGCAGATATCCAGGAAAATATGTCCTCTGGGTGTAGGGACATGTCATATCATAATTGATGAGGAGTTAAAAAGTAATCTCTAAGTCAATGCAAACCCTGAAGTACTCTTATTCACAAGGACATCATGAAAGTAACATTTACAAATTCAGCAGGACACCCTGGACGTGGAACTTCTCTTGGCTTCCTCCCAGATGGAAGTAGGCAGGCGTTTCGTTGAGGGGAATCAAGATGAAGACTCTCCTATGTGCCATCCTTAAATTGAGCTTCATTTTCACACTTAACTTGTGTAAGATTATATATGTGATCACAGCATGACCACTTCACTTCCATCTTGATCTGCCCAGAAGAGCAGCTGTGATCCGTGTTACTTTTTATGAGTCTTCAGAGAAGTTTAGAGGCAAATTTAGGAGAACAAAACAGCATCCCAGAATTCGTTTTCTTAGAAATGGAAAGACTGTGGATGAGCCAACCATTCCTATCATTGTCCYGAGTACCCAGAACTCTGACCCAGAACCAGTTCCTGGTTTTCCAGTGACTTGTTTGGTTCAGGGAAGAGGTTAAATCTGGGGCACTCCACTAACTACCCTCTTTTCCTAGTCTTTGGATAGTGAAAGATGTGATCATCCCACTCCATGTGTCTCTAGGAAGGGGGCCCATCTCTGCAAAACCACCATGGTCCCATCGTTGCCATCTATTCCAACTCCTTTCTTCTTTTATCCATATGTCTGTCTATTTTCCTGTTCTTTTAAATATTTGGCTGGCAGTAGGAGAAGGAAAGAGAACTTGTCCTGCCTAGATAATGTTTTTGTCTGCAGCTGCAATATGAAAATGGTAACTGTTGTTTTGATCTTAGGTTAACTCTGACGTTCCTGTCACAGGGGACCAWTGCCGGTACAAAAGCACTTTCTCAGGTTCCTTCCCAAACTGATCATCCAGAGAGTTTCATTAAAATAACACAGGCAGTGCCAGCTGTGCTGAGCACACAAGGGCTCTGTTGTTCGTCTTGGAATTAGTCACCCTCACATGGTTGAGCTTCCTAAAGCCGTTGAACAAATACACGTCACTGAGCGAGATGAAGGCACCCATGYCTAGCCCTGGTACATGTCAGCTATACAAGGTAGTTGGGAAGAGGTATATTTTCTTTATGAATTAAGCAAAAACATTTAATTGTGGCCTGTCCCAAAAAAACTCAGCTATATGCCGTAACAGAAACTCATTTTGTTGTATAATAAGTGTATTAGCCACTATACTTTTATTTTCCGGAAATAACTCATTAAGAATCTAAATTATCTGCAAAATAGACATCAGGATTTATCATACAGATGCTGTATCACAGAATCGTTATGTTTCTCATCTTATTTTTCTAAGGTCAAAATGATTGGCATTCTGATAACTTAGTATTGCAGTAATAAATTWGATAATTCCGTGTTTCCCCATTAAGACCGGAGAACTATGAGTATATAAGGAGATAAACAGAGGTTTCAGAATGCTTTTGCCAGCTCTTATAAAATGTATTGAAGGTTTTGATTCACAGTTTATGTTGTAGAATTACCTATCTGTAGTCACACGTTTACTAAGTGCATAGTAAGACTATACTAGTTGCCAGTAATTTTCCTTTTGTTGGCATTCTATTCTTGTAAATCAGAACTTAACAATTTAATTTAAAATCACAGGGAGAGAAATGAATATATGAATTCAATGTGATGGGCATGTTTAATTTGAACAGAATTTGGGGAAGAATTCCTCTTTCACAACATTTTTTGCATCTTCATAAAGCTGYGGGAAGCTGCTCATCTGAACTGTAATGACTGTAGTGTAAAGCAAACTCTCTGTAATCAGTGATATCATTTCAATTTACCTTGTTCAACTTGGCTTGAAGTATTCAAACACTAAAACATTGAAACATCACCCCTCTATTTTACACCGTTACAATATTTCTATTTTACAATAACTGAAACAATAGTAGAGAATTGTTTTGTGAAATCTTCCATGCGATGTTATTACGGTGCACATGGTGTGTAAGCTTCAGTCACACAAGGATGGTTTTAATCATGTTGAACAGGGCTAATGTCCTGTCTACACAGAAGCTACGTGTCTGTAGGAGCTCTTTGGAAGAATAGTCTGAAATGGTCAAAATAAAGGCACGTATGGTCAAGTCAGTTCTGATTATGTGTGTTGCACAGTTTCAGGTATAATTCAGGGTGCTGCTGTGCTGATGCTAGATAGATAGAGAAAAAAAAGATCATGTAAGACAAGAGACAACTGACTTCTACGTGCGTGTAGATGAGGAGACTTTTGGTATGATATTAGCATTCCAGCAGTCTGCTGCCAGGAGGTTTACAGGAAAGATGTAATGAAGGTATTTAAGCAAAGTAAGGTTTGCAGAGAGAGCAGTTTCTGTTACTGCAC